GTGTTTGGTGGTGCTTTGGGTTTCTGCTTGGATTTTTTTGAGAATTCCTTCTTTATTTGTGCTGTGCAGGATTTACAATGAACACTTATGGTGTGTAGACCAGGCTGGCAAGCTTGATCATTTCTCAAATTGCTTAATTCCTTGGAAGCTTTCAGATTTATTCCACCTACACTTTTAATACAAAAGCACTGTCATTTTTACCTCATGTTCTTTACTTTGACCCCTGAGATTACTTGTCAGTTCTATTTTATTTTCTTCTTGATGTAGCTGTACTTCCATGGAGTTTTGGTTTTTTTTCTCAGATATTTAGAGATTCAGGGGTAAGTTAAGAAAAATTACTGAATTATTTGATTGCAAAATGAAGATCACTTACCAGCATCACTCTGCCCTTTGGGGGTCTGTAGTGGAAATGTGCAAACAAGGCACTCAGGCTAATAGGGGGGTATGACAGCAGTCCTGCCAGTGCCAAATGTATATATGGCACTTTATATTGCCCTTGCTGTATCAAAAAATGCTATTTTCTCCCTTTTTCTTAAAGATAACTGCTGTTGATCCATGATCAACCTCCACATTGATACATTATTCTTGGTAAGTAAGGCAAGTTGTGTAAGGAGATAACTTTTACAAGGTTGACTGATGCAGTTGCAAAAACAGGCAGCTTTTAGGGGTGTCTGTAAGACTTTATTTCAAAATGGCAGCTGCAGGTTTTTAAAGTAGAGATTTAGAAGGTATGCTCTGAAATTAGTAAAGTATTTTGTTCTGAAAAAGAAAAGTGGTTGCTTCCTTCAGAGAAAAAGGGATTGTTAGCAGGGAGAAAGGTGACCAGGTCATTAACCCTTCTGCCTTGAGAAGGCATAATTTAAAGCTGGTGGTTGTGGTGAATTGCACATTGATTAAACTCACTCTTTTATTTTGTAGATGTCTGTGGACATTGCTGGTTTTCTTTTCCAAATAACCACCTATGTATTTTTTGCTTATTTCCAGTAGACACTGCTGTGTATATAGAGATATTTAAAAGCAGAGACTTAGCATATAAAACTTGAAATTCAGTTACCCATATTTCAGTTGCCCATTGTCTAGCAACAGTAGGACCACCATTGAAGAAGCAGTATCATTTCATGCTAAAGCTTATTTGCCCCACTGACTTGTACAGCTACAGTTAGATTCACATTTATCATACTCAAAGATTTTTTTTAGATGTACGAAATCTCAAGTTGAATTTGGACTATGTTCACAAGTATCTTTATTAGTTGGTTGAGTTGGTTTGGGTTTGCATGACAGATTTGTCAGGCATTTCACATTTCTGCCTCAGAGTTGTAGTGATTGCCTTTTTTAGTGAAAGGCTGTCAAACTTAGGTGGCCATTAGCAATATTCTGAAGTTGAGGGTACATTAAGCAGACTTCATTCCATGCATTGATGAGGATGGCCTAAACCTATCAGGGCAATTAATGAATGAGGGCTGCTTCAGAAGATATTCCTGGGTTTGCTCTGTTTACCCACTGTTTTCCTAGAAAGCTCTGCAGCTCTGAGCTGAGCATGAGAACACGGTGTGGGTTGTGAACCCAGCACTGCCATGCTTTTCCACTTAGCAAATGCTCTTACACCCTCTTGAGATAAGGCAGGGGCAGCTCTGCTGTGTGGGAAGCACAGTGCCTCTTGCTAAGTGGCCAGTTCAAATTAGATAGGGCAGGAACACAGATATAAGGGCACTTCCTACTTGACTGGCAGCTTTTAATGGATCCCAAGTGAGGGGAATGATTGCCCTGTGAACAGCTTTAGGGGGATGCTGGTTAAGAACTTTCACACGCCTCATTTGGCCTCTTTCCAGCTCGAGGTAAAAGGGGGAAGGGTGCAGGAGGAATGTGCTTGGAAAGGGGATTTATCTCTGAGAGTCAAATTCAACTGTTGGATGAAAATCTTCCATTCTTACTTGCTAGATAGCTCTGCTTTCTCTTCATCAAGGAGGGTTTCTGTTCACAAAGAACAGCCAGGAAAGTTATCCAGACAGATTCTTTTCAGACTAGAATCTGCACATCTGATGGATATTGAAGAACTGTGGTATCTGAAAAGAATGCAAGGCAGCTACATTGATTGGACTAGTTATGGCAGTCCAATAACTACCATATTGACTATTGACTATTACATTTTTATAGAACAGTATTTTCTTAAGATATGATAATCCATCATTTTACCCTCTGTGGGCAAACCAAATAGTAAGAAAGATAGAAAAAACATCTGTTAAATTAGAAGCATCACTGGTTTTCACCTGCACAGGCAATACACTTTCAGATCATAATCTTGGTAACAGATGTTGTATGAAATCGGGGTACGTAGTGCAAACTCAGTAAATAACCAAAGCTGATGGATATAATGGGCTAAAGACAGTTTTGCTTGGTGATGGAAGTGAAATGTAACTGTGTTGATTCTATTAAAATATCCCTTGCTATTGCCCTGTATATAGGACAGCAGAGTGACATCAGTTTGCAATCACAGAATCACTGGGTCAGGCTGGAAGGGACCACAGTGGGTAATCAGGTCCAACCTCCCAGCTCAAGCAGGGCCATCCCAGAGCATGGGTGTCCAAACAGTGCCAGAATATCCCCAGTGAGGGAGACTCCACACCCTCTCTGGACAATCTGTTCCTGTACATGATCACTGCACAGGAAAGTTCTTGCTCATGTTCAGGTGGAGCTTCTGGGCATCAGTTTCTATTGCCTGGCACCACCAAAAACCAGGCTCCATCTTCTGACACCCTCCCTTCAGATACTCAGACATTGATAAGGTCCTCTCAGTCTTCTCAAGGCTGAACAGGTCCAGCTCCCTGAGCCTGTCCTTGTAAGAGAGATGCTCCAGACCCCTCACCATTTTTGTTGCTCTTCACTGGCTCCTCTCCAGGAGCTCTGTGTCCCTTTTGTCCTGAGGAGCCCAGAGCTGGACACAGCACTCCAGATGTGGCCTCACCAGGGCAGAACAGAGCAGAGGGGCAGGATCACTTCCCCTGACCTGCTGTAAATGCTCTTCCTAATCCACCCCAGGATACTTTTGGCCACAAGGACACACTGCCAGCTCACGGACAGCTTGTTCCCAGCAGGTCAGCCCCAGCCTGTGATGGTACATGGGGTTGTTCCTCCCCAGGTGCAGTACCCTGCACTCGCCTTTGTGGAATTTCCAATACTTCTTCCCTGCCCATCTCTCCATCCTGTCAAGGTCCCTCTGAAGGGACACAGCTCTCTGGGGTATTGGCCACTCCTGCCAGCTTTGTGTCATCAGTGAACTTGCTGAGGAGGCATCTTCCCCTTCATCCAAGTCATTGGTGAATAAGTTAAACAGCACTGGGCCCAGTACTGACCCTTGGAGAATGCCACCAGTGACAAGCCTCCAGCTAGAGGCAGCACCACTAACTGGAGCCCTCTGGGATCTGCCCTTCAGCCAGTTGTCCATCCACCTCCTTGCCCACTCATCCCAGGCTGATATATCAAAGCATTATTTTCTCATGTGTGTTTATATATGCAAACAGAGGTTGCCCCAAGGCTGCCCAGGTTTTTACTGAAGCACATGAGCTCACTCTCTCTCTCGTGCAGGTTTCCTGCCTGACTCCTCTCCCGTGGCTGCCTGTGGGTGTGGCAGCACCCTGATGTGCTGGTGTGGGCTGCTGAGTTCAGCAGGACACAGAGCCTGACATTAGTTAGCTGCTTAGCCATGCCTCTCAGATCCTCACACTCTACAGCAACTAATCCATGTAAAACAGCGTTAGAAACAAAACAAGTGAGCCCTGACAGCCTTATTAAAAGGGGTCGAAGCCAGAGTCTTTGTTGAAAGTAATGCCAGCACCCTGTTTTGTCGACTCAGAGATTATCTCACTCCTTATTCATTAGCAGGGTCAGAGGTGTCCTATTGAAAAGATATCCCCAGCCCACTAACAAACAGCAGGTGCAGCCTCTGCCTGGGAACATGAACAGAAGTTGCTGGGACTTTGGCAAGGCTTCCCAGCTCTCCCTGCCCAGCACCTCATTTTATGGAAAGGAGGCCCTGAGCCCAGTTCTTCTCTAATTTTTCATCAGCTGCAAACCTCAGAGGTTTGCATTACTGCAGTTTTGAATATGTGCCCACAAACATCAAGAAGAAATGAAGCAGTATTCTTGTGGAAGGTCACAGCAATGGGTGCCCAGTAGGCATTTATGCACTTGAACTCTGTATCTTTATAAAAAAATGAGAAATGATTCTTCAGATACATTTTATGGGATCTGGATAACTCTAGTTTGGATTGCATTGAGGAACAATTATTATATTCAGATTGGGTAAAGTATAATGAAATGAAATAGTACTTTATTAAAGTCCTTTGATTTCAGTTTTTTAGTTTGTTATATAGAATCTGGCCTATTTAATAAAAGTCATTGCCATTTCAAAACTATAGAAGACTATACCTTAACTATCTAAAGCACTATAAAAGATAAAATTTTAACTTTCTGGTAAAGATCTATCTCTATCCAATTTCTACAGTAGAGATGCAATCATCTTAGAATTGTTGTGTTTTGGCATAATTTGAAACTATTCTCTTTAGAACATGTTTATTGCATACTTAATTTACAATGAAATGTTTGTTGGAAAAACAAGCTAAAAATCTATATTGACATTGCTTTTGGACAAGCTGTGGACAGACACCTTTTATCAGATTTTTTTTTTTAAGTAGTTAAACCGAAGTACTGTTGGATAATCAGTAGAGTTAATGCATTCAGTTTAATACTGTTTCATTTTTCACCCATATCATCATTATTATTTCCCAGTCCAATCACACAGTTGTCACCATTGCACCCTCTCCCCAGTGTCCTTGGTTTCTTTCTGGATGGTTGGTACATTATGGACCAGGAGCACAAGGGAAAGAGTGTTCAGGCTTCTTCCATTGTGAAACTGGACAAGATTGTAACTTAGAGGCTGATCTTTGCTTTCATCACTGCTGGGGTCTCAGGCTGTTCTCACTGTCTCTGCTCTCTTATTTCAGATAATTCAGCCCCTCTTAGAACTTGACCAGAACCGCAGCAAGTTGAAGTTGTACATCGGCCATCTGACAGCCCTGTGCCACGAGCGCGACCCCCTGATCCTGCGTGGGCTCACCCCGCCTGCCTCCTACCACCTGGATGATGACCAGGCAGCCTGGGAGAAGGAGCTGCACAAGATGACCCAGGAGCAGGTGAGTTTGTGGGCTCCAGCTCTGAACAAGGGCCTGAACTTGCTGCTTGAGGCTTTACTGATGTGCCACACCAAAACGTGGTGAAACCGTGTTGTGAGTGGTGAAAGCTGAAGGTGAACTCTTTAGCTGAAAAAAGGAGTCAATGATTTTTTTAAATCATTGCCATTTATTATTATATTATTATTCATTATGGAATTTCATATGCTCTTTTGTCCGTACTCGGGGCCATGCTTTTCCACACTCATGGGAAATCAAATTGCAAGATACCAAAAGATATTCGCTTTTGCCATGTTTTAACATGTTAACTGTTAACAAATTTTAGCTGCTCTCTATAATTCAATGTCATCAAGTCATCAAGATCTTAAATCTTTAATTATATAAACCATATATATTTTAATTGACACATTTTTATTAGTCTCTTTATAGAAATGAATGCAGTGTTCTTACCTGCTGTTACAGACTATTCTGCCAGTAATTTCTACCTCTTACCCACCTTGTCTTACCTTGAATATATGCCCAAAGACATTGAGAAAAAATGAAGCAGTATTTTTGTGGAAGGTCACAACAAAGGGTGCCCAATAGGCATTTATGCACTTGAGCTCTATATTTTTGTAAAAAATTGAGAAATGGTTCTTCAGATACTTTTTATGGGAACTGGATAACTCTAGTTTGGATTGCCTTGAATCAAGATTGGACTCAGTGTGCTGGATGTGATACACCCATGCTTATATGCACACACACACAGTGACTTCAGGAACCCACCTGTGTATTTCCAGGAGTTTTGGAATACGGAACTGAAGGAGTTTAATAAGAGTTTGTCAGATGATGTCTCCACAAGAGGCTGTCAATCTAGTTATAAGTCATCTACTGAAATAGTCTTCCTTTCTCCCAGCTCTTATAATGTCTTACCTTCCTTAATCCCTTCATTGGCAGTTTTTTATCTCTTGTTTCTGGACTGTAATTCACCATTCCCTACAACCTTTTTTCTAACTCGTTCCTATTTCTCTTTTCAATTTTCTTTACTTTACTGTTCTAGTCCTATATTACTGAATGCCCTTTTTTTTTTTTTTTTTTTTTTGTAATTAAACTGCTGCAAGGAACTTGTACCAGAACTAAATGTGACAAGTTTTGTCTTTTTAACCCTGACTTAACTTGGAATATAATGCCAAGACTTTAACTATTCACTTTCATGTGTTTTATACCAAACTCTATCCAGTGTGCACACAAGCTAGTGTAAGGCCTATACAGTTAAAAGGGGATTTGTGGGTCAGTGAAATACATTGAGCCTGTCTTGAACACTTCACCTCTGGTTTTCTTCCTTGGTGATTTTAAAACTAATTTCCTTGAACTGTCAAATCAAGACTGAATTTTCATTCAAAAATTGGAGAGAGCAGTGAAATTGCAGGAAACCAACAAAAGCATGTCTGAAAATTCAAAAAGAGCAGTCCTCTGGAGATAAATATTCCTGTAACAGGGCCAAGATGGTACACAACAGTCATGCTCTCTTGCTGTACCTGTCTTCATACTGTCACTGATTCAGCATGTGCTGTGTGCCTCCCTCAATATCTACATTTACCTCTATAGGTATGACACATTCCTTTTCCCTTCAGAGCCTCCTGGCTTCTGTAATCACTGATGCAGGATTAAAATGTCTTCATTTTTATGCATGCCATCCTCCTCTGTTAAAGCCTTACAGCTCCTATGGTATAAATCAAAACATGAGGCATATTATTTTGAACCACCTTTTCTGTCAGATTGGGATGGAGCAGTGGGTGACAAAACCTGTAGCATGTATCCTCTGAAAATGAGAGAGGATATGGGCAAAGTTTGGATATCACTGAAATAAATTGCCTCATTAATTATAGCTGTGGTGCTCTTCATATATAATCAGGATCTGTGGGGACAGGTGGTATTTGCTATTGATCAAGGGATGTGGGTAAAGAAAATAGGAGAAGCTTTCTTTGTCAAGTTCTTCTGAATAGTAAGCCCAAAAATAATATTTCCCATTAAAACTTTGCTAGTCCATTAGCAACATTTATGGGTTACACAGTAAAGAAAGCGGTGTGAGAAATTGTGAGAAAAGGGAATTACCTAAGTTGTTCTGGAAAGAGAAAAAAATTTTCTATCCTTTCACATTATTGTCTTAATTCTGCACTGCTGTCACCACAGTTGTTTAAAGTTACTTCTCCATTCACAATTCCCAAGCATAAATAATGTCAGCTAAAATAAAATGTAGCTGTCTCTTCTGCTTTCCCATACTCACTCGGATGGTATTTAAGAAGCTTCAGTTGCAAAACACAAACTAATGATATATTTCAATTTACAAAGCAGACTTTTCATTTAAGCCATGGAGCTTTTCTGTTTCTAGCTGCAGAGTTTCCTTTGTGCTTAAAGTATTCCCATGGGGGGTGGGAATCAGTTCTCCAGATTTGCAGAAGCCCATCACAGAATACCCATTTTGCATCTTTGGAATTTTAATGAGTTTTATAAAGTACCTCAAATCCAGTGCACTAAATTCACTCCTGTCCCTTCTAATATGATCTTCTGTAGATAATGCTTTACAAGCCTCAGTGGGAAAAAATTAATCCCCTTGAATGTTAAGAAGTGCTAACATGATTAGGGAGGATACATTTAACCAACACCAATAATATTTAAGCATGATGGCAACGTATCCACTTCTCACCAATGAGATTACCTAGTTTGGTTTGGTTGCTTTGAGTTTTTTATATAAATACTTAAGAATTCATTTTCATACTGCTGCTTTTGGAGCTGTTATTTCCCTCTGCAGCAACTTCTGTTGGCAAAGGTTGGTTTGCTATGTTTCATCATAACCAATGTACTTGGTAGATCTTTCATCCCTGCTGGGGAGGTTCAGGTGCAAAAAGCAGGAGTTTTCTGTGGCTTCTTTTGGTAGATACAATGGGTATTTGAAGTAGATTTAACCTTCTCACTCTTCTAGTGCACCCACAGTGACTAATGTACAAGTAGTTGTTGGAAAAGTATCTGCCAGCATCAACACCGTGGATCTAAGGGGAATTTGTTGCCACATAAATAATTTTGTAGTCTCAAAGTTTGACTGATAATTGGTGCCTCTTATCCATAACAGTGTCTCAACACTACCATTAAGTTCAGTGGTAGTCCTTAGTGACTTCAGCTGATTACAGCATATGCTGAGTTGGAAAGGACCCACAAGGATCATTGAATCCAGCTCTTATCACTGCATAAGACATTCCCAGGAATCACAGCAGGTGCCTGAGCATTATCCAAACACTTCTTGAACTCTGTCAGGCTTGGGGCTGTGACCATATCCCTGGGGAAGATTGATTGTAATCAAGCTGTGGGGCCAAGATACTATATCATTCTTTGTTGGCATTTTCTCAAAGATCTTGTGTAGGCTGACTTACTGTAGTAAAATTTTGGTCTATTAGTAATGAAGAATTGAAGCCAGTACTTATGAGTATATGGTGTCTCAAAACTTAATCTTAAATAATATATTAGACTAAGTTGTGGACAGTAAAGGATCTATAGAACTCAGAACCATGTCATTAAATTATTCCTGTGGTGGAAAATGTCCCTTTGAGTCAGTTCTGACCCAATGTCCCCAAATAAGCTGAATTTTGATTCAAAAATTGGAGAAAGCAGTGAAATTGCAGGAAGCCAACAGAAGCATATCTGAAAATTCAAAAAGAGCAGGCCTCTGCTCTTTTTGCTCTAGTACTCAGACTGTTTCTGGAACTGTCATCCTTCAACCAGTTCATGTCCTGTTTGACTTTTCTTACTAAAAACCCGAAGTTACCAGAAGGAAAGAGGAATGTTCAAAGTCTTGACACTCAGAAATAAAAATTCCTTTCATTCATTATAGATAATTGCATTATCCTAGCAATTTCTATTAAATACCATATTTTCTTTCACTTTGTCCTAGAGGTATCATTACATTAATATCCTTGAGCTCTGTAGAATGACTGCTCTGTTTCACATTTCAGATAGCTGCCTATAAGTGTAGGATTTTAGTCCTTTATGAAAGGAAAAGGCATTAAGAACATAATTATATGGTCCACACTTTTATTTATAGTTTAGGTTTTGTTTTGCTCTTATCTGTACAAAAAGAAGGAATTGAGTAGAAAAAAATGGAGTAGAAAAAGAATGGAGTGGAATTTGCTGAAAGTCCTCACTTCAATGTGTCAGAGGTGGTGCACTGCACTGGGGTTGAGAGGCAGCAGTGTGAGAAAGGAAAACGAGCCAAAAAAACCAGAGCAACCAGATATGAGAAGTAGGCAGCAGTATTAGGTTTGTTAATAGCTTAAGGACTATCAGCAATGTTTCTTAGCACCTCAAATCCAGCTGTAAATGTGCAGAACCTTGTATGACAGAGAATTTCTTATTTTCAATAGGTCCTACACTGATATTTGGAAAAAACATTTCTTCCAACAGAAGATCTATACAATTAAAATTATTTTCTTAACCCTAGGAGTAGGAGGCGTTTTTCCCCCTGGCTCCCTGCCATCAGAGGCTCTTTCCAGCCATGTCCAGCATGTCCTGGCTTCCTCAGGCTGCTGGGGGTCCTGCCAGTTTCTGCTGACCCTTAAGCACCAGTTTGTTTGTTCCCTGCACAGTCCATCTCTCCTCCTCCAGAGGTGTTTCTGGCAGCGTTTCCATTGTGACCTGGGCATCAGCAGCAGTCTGGGAGAGCTGGGCAGGTACATTTCCACCAGAGGCTCTCTCAGAAGTCACCTGCTGTGGGAGCTGGTCTCACCCCACTACCAAGTGCTGCGCCTGTGGCTGCTTTGCTGTGAGTTACAGAGAAAGGCACTTCTGGAAAATCTTAATGATCATCCAAGAGCCTTTGTTGTGCAGAAAGCTTTTCTTCCCTTTCCCTGTGCACCAGCTTCAGCCAAAGCACAGACCTTCTAGGGATTCCTGCTTACTAATCCTCTCCCAAGAACTCAGGAATGCCTTTTCTGCTCAGCTGCCCAAAGCAGAGGAAGGAGAAAGGTGATAAT